ATATCAGCAAGAGGATCATTCTGATTGTTAAAAAAGAAGAGTTTGAATTTACAGTGAGCCTGTGTAGAAGAATGTTTTGATCAGTTTTTTCATTTTGATCTAAGCAGAAGGAACCATAAATAGGATTGTTAAGTTGATAATCTAAAGATTTTGCTATTTTCTGGGATGCTATTTAAAATTTGAGGGGAGAACACTGCTCAGCAGTATAAATGTATTCCTGATCATCTTCTGTTTGTGGGTTTCTACATCAATTTCATGTACTAATTCAGAGTCAGTTTTATGTAATTTTTGCATTTTGTTTTATTAGCTTACTTTTCAAGTTTTTATAAGACGGCAAAATAAAATTCAGAATGGAAATGGGGAATATGTCAAAAATTTGCTTTCGAGTAATGCAATCATGTCACTGTTGTTGTCCGAAGACACATTTGGTTTCCGGACAATAACTTTAGTTTAATAAGTAAATGGATCTCTATGACAATGTATGAAATTGTACCAGAAGGTTCAACTTCAATACACAAAAGGAAGGTTAGAATTGATTTTGGGGGTTATCATAATTATTGTACCAACAGTTTAGGAGTCAGTGGTCAAAAACAACATTTTTGGGTTGTTTTTTCCATCATTTTTGTTTTTTTTCTCAAAAAATTTACCATTTTAACATTGATTATTTCTCATTTATATATAAATGCAACAAATACTGATTTGGCAGGTGATACACACGAAACAGGGTGTGTAAATTATTTTATCGGTAATTTGTGCATTTTTTCTTTGATGTGTACTTCTTGATAATGTCAACGTCAGTATCAGTGAACTGGTCATGATAAAGAAAATATATTGGGTCAGTTCGCAATTGACATGCACGAGTGCATCGCAAAAGGATCTTCTTTCCCTTTAATTCACAAAATTGCACATGATTTTTTTTCGCAGAAACGCACAAGTCATTTCATGAATGAAACACTTGTCATTGTTTGAAACTTTCAGTAATCAGCTGGTAATAAAAAGTTAGTTTAGCCTTTTTGAACGATTCACTGATTGTGTGAAAATTTGAACAGAAAATGTACAATAACCCACAGTGATAAAATTGCGTTATCTGCAGAAGTATTGATAGCTATCCTTACTATTCACTAGGACATATAACTAACATATCGTCCATGCTATTCCGATCTGAGTTTTTATTCATACATAGTCTGGCATGGCTGGTGCTGTTCCAAGTTGTCTTCTTCTCTGCATGTTTCTTGAGAAGTATTTGTTTGACCTGGTCAGTCACTATAAAGTGTTACAATTCATATTTAGACGCAACACATAAATAGTGACCAAACAGGTACCGCTTTCACATGTATGACATGAGAGAATCTAGAAAAAAAATTAAATGTACACATTTTTCACATTTTTGTGGGACTATCATATAAAATTAAGGAGATATGTAGTTGGAGACTGCTGCTGAATAGAAATGTTCGGCTCACCTGATACCTGTTTTCAAATTAGTCCATATATTTAAGTTTGAAGGGTCCAAAAGTTAAAATGTTTGATTTCAACTGACATAACATTTTTGGTGTTTTTTATATGCTAAATCTACAAAAAGATGATAATTAATAGATAACTTCGCATGGTGACGACACTGACGTTTTCGTAGATTTACTTTTTCCCGGGAATGCTTCATCTGTTGATATATTCTCATTGTGAACTATTTGTGTATATTTAGATATAGTAACCGATTTTAAAACACATGTATAATGTCAAATCATAACAATACAAATTGTTTAGTCTCGTCTCAAAGAAAACTTGGAAGATTTCAACAGTTATTTTTGTTGAATAGGTGCAAATTGGGTACTCGGTGCAATTTGGGAACTGTGACGTTATAGCCATAAGTGCGGTATGAGATTTGCTCATTGTTGAAGGCCGTACAGTGACCTATAGATGTTCATTTCTGTGTCATTTGGTCTCTTGTTGAGAGTTGTCTCATTGGCAATCATACCACATCTTCTTTTTTATATAAGTGTTTATTGCTTTAATAGGTTGAAATGGGCACCTGATAAAAGTATTCAGTAGAGGGAAAATGTTTTGATCAGGTTTAAACTGACGCATAAAATATACAGGCGACTGGGGGAGGCAATTATTTATATTGGATTATTGCATCTAAATAATGTGTCGGCAGCTTGAATTGCAAAGGTTGAAAGGATGTAGCCAACATACTTCCAAGTAACATGCTCTATACCTATCAAAAGTCATGGTATTATCATGGGTTATCAAAAGTCATGGTATTATCATGGGTTATCATAACTCCATCTTCCCATAAAATCCTATTTTGGACAATATGGGTGCATACAATATATATGTACCTATAAATGTATCACTCAGACTCAAGTCTCCTTTTACAGCTGTTTTATGATTAAACTTAGAGAGTAAAAAAAAACAGTCTCCATCTCCTTGATTTGTTCAGAGTTTGTCAAAGGAAGTACAGTCTACACTTATTGTCTGTACAGATACTGAGATAGTGAATTTGAATATATTTTTTTTTGTTTAAAACTTTTAAGTTTTGAATTTCACCTGCATTTGTCTGTGAGCTACAGGAATAACCAACTTCATTATCACTATAACTTGATGTGAGAAATTCTGTTACAGATGAATAATAGTGAGTAGTCATGGTCAACCAGAGATACTACCACCGGCTACGTTTCTCCCGAAATGTATTGCTTGCAGGGTTTTTTTTCTGTGTTCCCATGGCTGGACGGAACTTTTACACTACAAATGTTATCATAAATTATGATATTGTAACTTTTAAATGAAGTACCTGGGGTTATTTAGGAAATTTGTCACTGATAATGGAAAGATGAAGCAGACGATGAAACATGTCGTAAGATGTTGTTGTCCAAACTTCGGTTATTTCCGTGGTACAATAAAATTTAAATAAACTACACAAGTTACTAAAATTTCTAAATTCTTGTTTTTGTAAACAAATAAAAATTCATGTCGTATTTAACATCGAATTTATTCCGTTTTGTCCCGTTTTTTCAAGATCGCGATTAAACGAGAATCTGGCAGCCATTAAAAATATAAGGGTTAAACTAATGTCATGACAATGTCCTGACGGATATTCCAATGCTAATTTCGTTTTCATTATTTGAAGAATTAACTTTATATTTGAAGCCAAGCAAGAATACAATATTTATTTAATAAGGGGACGAAGTCCCCTATTACAGTAGAAAAATCAATAAAAAAAAAAAAAAAAAAAAAAAAATCGGGAAAATTTCCCGAAATTTTCATTGTACTAATGAACTCAAAATCGTTAACTTTTTAATTTTCAGACTTTTTTATTTTCCCGCATTTGCGCAGAAATCTACTTCCTTTTTCCGGTCTCGTTTGCATGAGTCTTTGAGTAACATATATATTTATCAGTCTAGTAAAATATAGGAAGGAACGCAATACCAATTCCATTTTCAATAATTCCTTGAATGGCTTGATATGAAAAAACGTTACCTGATAGAGTTTCTTTGTTTACATTGAATATGACGTCATAACATAAATAACGTCACAACTAAAATTCCGAACAACAGAACCGAAATCGGAAACGTAAGGGTATTTCCGTTTCTTTTTTGAACAGATTTTGAAGTTAAAATATGTTTGAATTAAAAAAAAATAATTCATACAGACTTCGTCCCCTTTCACAGGTAACGCCTGCCTCATATTAAATATACGGGGAAAAAAAGAAAAAAAAATTTTTTTAAGAGTTAGATAACTTGACTTGACCAACTTCGAATTTTTTTTTTTAAAAATCGTACGAGATTTAACGAGAGTGACGAAACTTTTTAGATTGATCATGTAGAGAGAGTTATCGTTCTTTATTCCAATTCGATGCTTCTACCATAAGTGCCAGCTAAAGCTGGCATATTATAAGGGGACGAAGTCCCCTATTACAGAAGAAAAATCAATAAAAAAAAAAAAAAAAAAATCCGGAAAATTTCCCGAAATTATTGTACTAATGAACTCAAAATCGTTAATTTTTTTTTTGGTCACTTTTTTTAATTTCCGCATTGGGCAGAACTCTACTTCCTTCTTCCGGTCTCGTTTGTCATGAGACTTTGAGTGAAATATATATTTATCAGTCCAGTAAAATATAGGAAGGAACACAACAACAATTTCATTTCTAATTATTCTTTGATATGAAAAAACGTTACCTGATGTTAGCGTTTCTTTGTTTACATTGAATATGACGTCATAACTAAAATAACATCACAACTAAAATTCCTAACAACAGAACCAAAATCGGAAACGTTACGGTATTTCCGGTTTTTTTTTTAACAGATTAAGAACTTAAAATATGTTTGAATTAAAAACATTAATTTATATAGACTTCGTCCCCTTTCACAGGTAATGCCTGCCTCATATTATAATAAGTACGTCTGAACCAGTGACAACTCTACGACAGATTTTATCCATCGGATCACCAGTGATGGTGATACAAGGCTGAAAACACATTCTGTATAAATAATTCGTCTAAATAACAGCCCAACAATGTTAGATCTGTAAATTTGCGGAAGCAAATTTTTTGTTCTATATTATATATATATAAATTTGTTTTGCATGCACAAGTATAAAAATTGCGGTTTTTATCCCACGAAATCATAGGTTTGAACTTTGTTTTCAATTTAGACTTGTTTATATCTATATTATGTATATATAATTAATTAAAAGACTTTTCTGTTTGTATAATGCTTTTATGTAAAGGGGAAACTGTTATGCGTGTGTGTGATCCTTTTTGTCTCTTTGACCATAGATACAGTTACAGGGTAGATAATAACGTTCTTATGTTGCTAACGTAGAATGCTATTTTTCGCGAAGACGCGACAAATAACGTTTATATTTGCCGTAACGTCGCCTATTATAATATCGGAAATTCGCTGAAAATTAAGAAATAATTCATGGGGGCTTGAATATATCGTGATTTTACCACGGGTTGGCCCTTTATGACAAATATTTTACCCTGAGCGATAGCGAGGGGTAAAATATCGGCATAAAGGGACAACCCGTGGTAAAATCACGATATATTCAAGCCCCCATGAATTATTTCGATTCTAATAGGACAAATACGGCAATTGTTTTGGATCGAAGCGCTCTAGATGAACGCATTATTTGCCGTTCCCATAAATAAACGCACTATTAAATTGACGTAAAAGACCGGAGCAAACTGAATAAATGACATGCTTAAACTATTTACAATAACATGTTTAGATAGGTTTGGATGAATCTAAATGATAATTGTACTTATATGTCTTATATGTATACAAAAATGGCTTATATAACACATTTTTGCATCGTTTATTTACGTTTCCTTGTTGTGATGATTTTCGGTTTCACAAGCGTGTATTTTCCCGTAAAATGCTTATATTCTTACGTCATCGTTCTATGACGTCGGGTAGCTCATTCATAAAAAACCATGACGCGGGAGTACGATTGGAACAGCCCAAACAATATATCCATATTTTACCACGGGTGTGTACTCAAAGCGTTTGAAGAACGTCATGTTAGAATCGACGTTATAATATCGGTTATCAGATGATCCCGCGATTCAAAAACGGGCACCATGCCTTTCCAAAAGAAGGAAGAGAGAGAACGGAGGGATAATGTTTCCAAATTAATGTCTCAATTTCATGTAGACAGGAACAAGATTAGAAAAGAGAAAGAAATTGAGAATTGTGGCCTGTTTTTATCTTCATCACCGTATATTTCATGGCAGGATGGGAGACGAATCGTTGAACTAAATGTGCTGGCAATTGCGTTACGGTCCTGTACAATGTGTTCTATCCCCTACATTTGCATAATACAGAATCAGAAAAAAGACAAGGACTTGGAAGTTACCTCAGCGTTCGTTGTGCAGAATGTAACTTATTAAATACAATCCAGACAAATAAGACACATGTTAACGGTTCTAAAGGCCCTGGAGTGTTTGGCATTAATACAAAAACCGCAATTGGTAAGTTTCAATGATATAAGCACATTTTGCGACACTCCAAGATGTTCTGTGTTTAATGTAAGAATATATCATACAAGTTTTAGACCAATATTACTTTTATATGCCTCTGAGCTGTCACAGAAATACTCAACAATCTCCTGCATCTTTCAAAGCTTTCTTTCTACAATACTTTATGTGTCATGCTGACCGTAAGTCTGTCTGGCAGGGTTCATCTGAACCTGACCTCATTTTCATGGTTCATTGGTCAATATAAAGTTTTCACTGTTTGTTCGGTTTCTTCTATGACGGTGTGGAAGGGGTTTTACAGAATAGAGAATAATGGGCTAAAATATAAAGAATAGAGAAAAATGGACCAAAATAAATTAGAAAAGATAATAAGGAGGTGCTTAAATATAAAGAATAGAGAATAATGGGCCAAAAGTATTAAGAATAGAGAAAAATTGCCTACAAATAATAAAAAAAAATACAGAAATAAGGATCCCCCATCCCTACCCTCTTTTGTACGCAATAGTTCAACTGTATTTGGTGTATGGAATGATTGTAAGGTGTACACGTATTTCTGGCTTGGTTTATCTGACCTTGACCTCATTTTCTTGCATCAGATTAACATTATGTGATACTTGTAGTAAAACTTTATATTAAGGACTATCAACATAAAATAAATGGTCAGTAAAGCAAACGAGACATTTTAGCGTGTGCACTCTTGTTAATTTGTTAGAGGTGAATGAGACAATTATTTATGTTATAAACAGTGACTTATCTGTTCGAACCTTTTATTTTCGGGTATGAATAAGTGTTCATATAAATTTTCGGACTAACAGATTCTGGATTAGGAGCGCGACAATTCAATAAATTAGTTACTACAATGGGAATACCTGGGATAACTGCAAAGACAATCAAGCAAAGATAAAGAGAGATAAAGATTCCAATTTATGATGTTGCCAAGGATTCATGTTTAAGAGTATTTAAGAGGAGATAGAATGTATGAGGTAATAAAGAAAACCATTTAAAGAGTTGTTTAAGTACATGTAGCGGAACGAATAGAGGTCCCATTTGCCTGTACAAAAATATTATAAATATATTGTAAACGTATACAAATGAACTACATGTATGTTTATGGCAATCCGTTTTTATATTTATTTCATTCTCAAGATAAATTATAAAGTTAATTTAATAAGATATCTTATATGGTTAATTGAATAAGATATCTTATAAGGTTAATTAAAAAAGATATCTAATAAACTAATTGAGATACATGTTAAATATAATAAGACATCTTATAAAGTAAAGAATTACTGACGACTTAAAAGGAATCGAACAGAAAAAGGCTAAAGAGGTCAAAGAGAATCGTATCGAAAGTACAGTTTCGTCATGTTCCTAGCAGTTTTGAAGACAATACATATATCTTTAAAACTGACGGTCAAACAAGTCAGTACCACTACCAAAAAATAAACACTGCGACCAGGAAATAATATCATACAGCTACGCGGTTTCTGCATATTTTTTTTAGTCCTGTACAAATGTCAATCGTGCTGTGAATAGATATAAGAAGATGTGGTATGAGTGCCAATGAGACAACTCTCCATCCAAGTCAAAATTTATAAAAGTAAACCATTATAGGTCAAAGTACAGTCTTCAACACGGAGCCTTGGCTCACACCGAACATCAATCTATAAAGGGCCCCAAAAATTACTAGTGTAAAACCATTCAAACGGGAAAACCAACGGCTAATCTATATAAAAAAACGAGAAACGAGAAGCACTTATGAACCACATCAACAAACGACAACTACTGAACATCAAATTCCTGACTTAGGACAGGTGCAAACAATTGCAGCGGGTTAAAACGTTTTAATGGTACCAAACCTTCACCCTTTCCTGAAACAATAGTGTAACATCACAACATAGAAAGAAACACTATAAAATATCAATTGAAATGGCTTAACTCAATCAAAAGACATATTAACACCAGTGAACATATACTGAACAAATAAATTTGATCTATGATACAGTGTAAATACAAAATAAATAAACTGAGGGAAGAATAATTAAAGTAACATGTTATACCGCTGTGAAATGTTAAACAATTTAAGAAAAACAATATGCTTAAACAAAAAAAATATCAAGCAAGTTATATTTTACCTTTATACTATAACAATTACTACTAGCCTTTTCTTGAAACGCGAGTAAATGCAGTAATTGTCCCCCGCGCACGCTTTTGTGGGGGGGGGGGGGGGGGGGGAAGGAAATACCGGGCGTCCGTCGGTCCCTCCGTCCGTTCTTGTTAGCGCTCTCACAGGTACAGTTCTTGTCAGATTTTATAAAACTTGTACTAAGTGGTGGCCGATCGACTTTTTTAAGAGTTATGCCCTTGGTAATAATATATTTTTGGAAAATGACCTTGTTAACGCTCTCACGAGTACAATTCTTGCAGATTTTTATAAAACTTATATTATAGGTTAATATCAGCAATATCTCGGACAAGTTCTATAATGTAGGACGATCAACTTTTTTTAAAAGAGTTATGCTCCTTGGAAATAATACATTTTTGGAAAATGGCCTCGTTAGCGCTCTCACGGGTACAATTCTTGCCAGATTTTTATAAAACTTATAGTGTAGGCTAATATCAGCAATATCTCGGACAAGGTCTATAATGGTGGACGATCGACTTTTATTCTAAGAGTGATGCCCCTTGGAAATATTGAGTATATAGAAAATTGCATTGTTAGAGTCTTTATGTGTACAATTCTTTGAATTTTATGAAATTTATATAATAGGTTTATATCAGCAACGTATTTAAAACTTTGAAAAACAGTGATGATCAAATATTTTTTAAGAGTTATGCCCCCTGGAACTAATAATTATAATGTTAATCACACTGCATTTGCTCTGAAGCCTTCATTTCTGTAAGATATTTATAAAAAGTTTAAAAGAACAAAAAAAAAAAAGGATTTTTTCTAGTTATTGCTGTTGTACCTTTGATAGATAAAATATTTGCAACACGGGGACATTGGAACTCTGTTCTTTTGTTTATTTATTGGTACTAACAGAAAATACACAGATACAGATTTGTATGATCTATTTATTTAATACATGTATGATGCTCTTGATGGGGTTTCTACTATCCTGCATTAATTAATGTGTTTTAAATACATTTTTTGGAGTGTTCGTTAAAGTTTTATCTTTTCTATTCGGTATTAATTTTGAATGCTGTTAACAATTATATATTTTTTTTGGACCAAAGTACTTGTATTCTGTAATCATAATTTTTTAGATTATACTTCTTTTCTGTAATTTGTATTTCATTATTTCTACATCTAAAGCCTTTACTCTCTTTTAAAATTTTGGACTCAATGGTTGTGCGGTTTCCCATATATCAGCTTTAACTCACAGTTCTTCTATTTTTTTTAGTAAGAGCATCCCGCAAGAAGAGTCAGCCACACCAGAAGGTCTAAAGGCTAAGTATGATATGTGCTGGCAAAAATGAGGATCCGGGAGATCTTATAATAGTCCGTCAGGGATTGACTCCATCTTGGGGCAACACACAGGCAAAGTTATTAGGTTTAAAGTTTGCAGCACTCTTTGTAGAATATGTGATACTGCATCAACGTAATGAAAGGAACCCAAACCGCATGATTGTCCACGTAATTGGGAAAAAAGTGTAAAGGCAACGGAGGCTGACACGGCTGTGCGACTTTTGAAAATACTAGAAGAAACCACTGGAATACAAGTTGATACTCTAATTATGGACGATGACGCATCTCCGCTTTCAAAGGTAAAGCAAGCTCTTGGTCATGACGTTGATAAGTGGAGCGACATTAATCACTCTACCAAGTCTTTTTCTAATGCTCTGTATACACTACAAAAAAAACACAATGTTTTTTCAAAATATGTAATTGGTTACTTTACGCGTTGCTTTAGCTATGCAGTTAAACATAACAAGAATGACACGGAACATTTGAGGCAAAATATTCTAGTAATCGTGCCGCACTCTTTTGGCATAAATGAAAATTGTGGATCGTGGTGTAGTGCGTCGGACAATCATAAATACAAATCTTTACCTAATGGAAAATGTCTGACTGGGGATGATCTATAAAAAGATTTATGTATAACTTTTAAAACAATAGCCAACAACGCGCACAAATTAGCACCTTGTGGTTCAAGAGGTTGAATCCCTACATAACATTTATGGGTCTAAAGCTCCAAAACGAATATGCTACAGTAGCAGTGAGGCACTATGCATTCGAACAAGTGCATCTGTATCACAGAAAAATTTGGGATACACTTACATATCAGAAGTAAATATAAAGGCTGGATTGTCGAAAAATAAAGTTACAGTAAAACATGCAAGGGAGCTACAGACAGAGCGTAATAGGCAGCTAGCATATTCCGGTAAACCAGATGTAAAAAGGAGAAAAATTGATCATACACTGAATAAAACAGATAAGCAGGCAACCCTTGAAAAGAAAGAAGGCGATACCTACAAAAAACGGATATTTGCTTACAGAATATAAGTGAATGTACAGAAATTCCTCATATTAAATACAAGCCTGAACTTGAAAAAAATGAGTTATTTGATGGTTAAGTCGAGATATTTGATTTGGAAACGAGCTCACTGAGTGACGATTGTTGCATCTTACAGATCGCTGCGAAATCAAAAAAATCTGATTTCAACACCTATGTTCAACCGACAAAACCGATATCTGCAGCAACTACGGCAGTGACTGGCCTTTCATGTGGAGGTTCAGTATTATATTACAATGGAAATCCAGTATCAGCGTCTATACCAGAAGCGGCATTTCAGAGCTTTGTGTTGTGGCCTGACAATCAATCACCAGTATTACTTGTGGCTCATAATTGTAAAACATTTGATGCCAAACGATTGATGTTTAACATATCACAATATACTTGTTATAAGGCTTTTCAGGAATGTGTTATTGGATTTTCCGATAGACTTCCGTTGCTTAAGAATATTTATTAATTAGATAGTTATACCCAAGAATCGATTTATGAACACTTACCAGAAAATGACTACATTACCCAGAATAAATTATGTCTTATCTTTGGAAAGTATCATAAACAAGTCGGAAGTGGGGGCTACTTTAATTTGTAAATATTCATTCACAACAAAGTCTTTTATTAAACAGTCAAACTATTCGCTAGAAACAAAGCAAAGATTAACGACTTTTGACAACTTGAAAAATGGAAAGTTTGAGTCAACAGGAATTATCCACCGGATGGCAGAATCTGGGTTAAAGTTTTCTCATTTGAAGTTTGCCTTCGAAAGAAATGGATCAGAGAGCGTGAAAAAAATATTAGTTGAAAAGAGACTAGACGAAAAACCACGTGTTACCAAAAATAAATCTGTAATTGACAAAATATTGAAATATTTCACAATTTAAATGTGAACAGAGAATACACTTAAAATAGATATAAATGTGATAAAAAAAGTGTATAGTATATATGCGTGTTTTTTAATTTCTTTAATATTTGTGAAGTGGAAGGGACAAGTAGTATCATTATCACCCTTGTCTGTCCGTCCCGTTTGGTAAAGCGTTGCGTTTAGGTACATATTTTCGGAACCAAAAGTGGGTACCAGTAATAGTTACCAATAAATTACTCTTAGAGAGAATACAATTTTTTTTTTTTTTTTTGCATTCTTGTCTCCATTGACTACAATTGACGGTAAAGTTACTTTTGTTAAGTTTTGCATGTATTTCTATACACTCCATTTACAGAAACCAGATGTGCGACACATAGGGATTACAATCAGCATAATCAAGCAGCAGCATAAACTATTCAAATAAAGTTTGATATTTCAGAACGTAGAAGACATGGATGTTTCATGCCTTGTACACAGATACCTTATGTTTAGTTACTAAGTTTCTGTCCGTCAAATATCCATTGTCCTTGACCTAATCGTTATGGTTCGGTGACTGCTTGAATAAAAATTATGTTTTCTTTTCATGTGAAATACTCACTTATCATGCTTATTATGGTCGTCTGTATCTCAGATTCTAAAAGTAATAGGTCAACTATATTTGGTGTATGTAGTTATTGTTAGGTGTACATGTGCATGTCTGACTGGCAGTTTTCATTCGACCTTGACCTCTTTTTCCTGGTTCAATGGAAAATGTTTAGTTTTTGTGGTTTTGTCTATTTCTCAGATTCTATGACAATTAGGACTCTACATTTGATGTATGGAAGGATTTTAAGGTGAACATGTCCGACACTGGCAGTTTTGATCTGACCTTGCCCTTTTGTACATGGTTCAATATATATAGACTCCAAATATTTTTTATGGTTTTTGGTCTATTTTTTCAGTTACTTGAAGCAATAGGGCCACTATATTTTGCATATGGATTGATAATAAGGTGTTCGTGTCTGTCTGGCAAGTTTCATTTGACCTAGTCCTCATTTTCATGCCAGGTTCATTTGTCAATGCTAATATTGTATGGTTTTTAGTCGAGCCTGTGACTTCTGTCGCAGAAAGCTCCACATAGGGATGGTGATCCGGCGGCGGTGGCGACGCTAACTAACTACTTAAAAGCTTTATATTTTTAAAGGTGGAAGACCTGGATGCTTCATACTTTGTATGTAGATGCCTTATGTTATGAAGTTTCCGTCTGTCATATGTCCATTGTCCTTGACCTCATTTTCATGGTTCAGTGACTACTTGAAAAAAAGGTTAAGATATTTTGTAATGTTAATTTCTCTCTTATTATGAGTAATAGGATAACTATATTTAGTAGGTGCATACCTTGCAAGGTCCTCATGCCTGTCAGACAGTTTTCATCTGACCTCGACCTCATTTCATGGATCAGTGCACAAGGTTAAGTTTTCGTAGTCAAGTCCATATATCAGATACTATGAAGCAATAGGTATACTATATTTGGTGTATGGAATGATTGTAAGGTGTACATGTCCAACTGGCAGGTGTCATCTGACCTTGACCTCATTTTCATGGTTCAGTGGTTAAAGTTAAGTTTTTGTGTTTTGGTCCTTTTTTCTAATACTATATGCAATAGGTCAACTGTATTTGGTGTATGGAAATATTTTACAATGTACATGTCAATCTGGCAGGTTTTATTTGACCTTGACATCATTTTCACGGTTCATTGCTCAGTGTAAGTTTTTTTTTGTGTTTTGGTCTATTTTTCTAAAACTATAAGCAATTAGTATACTATATATTTGGTGTATGGAATGATTGTCAGATGTACATGTCCAACTGGTAGGTGTCATCTGACCTTGACCTCATTTTCATGGTTCAGTGGTTAAAGTTAAGTGTTTGTGTTTTGGTCTTTTTATTTTACGATGTACATGTCAGTCTGGCAGGTATTATTTGACCTTGACCTCATTTTCACGGTTCATTGCTCAGTGTTAAGTTTTTGTGTTTTGGTCTGTTTTTCTTAAACTGTAGTCAACTATATTTGGTGTATGGAATGATTGTAAGGTGCATTTGTCTGTCTGGCAGGTATCATCTGACCTTGACCTCATTGTCATTATTCATTGGTCAATGTTAAATTTTCATGGTTAAGTTTGTTTCTTAGATACTATAAGCAATAGGTCAACTATATTTGATGCATACATTGATTGATTGTAAGGTGTACATGTCTGTCTGGCATGCTTTAGCTGACCTTGACCTAATTTTCATGGTTCATTTGTCAATGTAAAATTTTCATGGTTAAGTTTGTTTCTCAGAAGCTAAAAACAATAGGTCATTATATTTTGTGTATGGAATGATTGTAAGGTGTACATGTATTTCCGGTTTGGTTTATCTGACCTTTGCTTCATTTTCTTGGATCATGTCAAGTTTATGTGATACTTGTAGTAAAGCTTTATATTTAGGATTATCAACATAAAATCAATGATCAGTAAAGCAGGAGAGACATTTCAGCGTGTGCACTCATGTTTTCAGCTTATCAGATTAAGTATATGAAATGATAGGTATATATTGTGTATGTTTGTTAAACTTTGTTTGGCAGATTTCATATGACTGTGACCTCATTTTTATGGTTCATCTGTCAATGGTAAGTTTTGATTTGGTCTGTTTTCCAAGTACTAAAAGCAATATAGGACACTATATTTGGTGTATGGAATGAATGTTAGGTGAACATGTTTGTCTGGCATGCACTACAAACAGGTCAGAGTCTGAAAATACCATATTTTGTACTCAACCAGTAAGGTCGAGCACAGGTTTTACTTTACAAGAATCGACAGTTCTTAACCGTACTTGACCTTTGTCTAGACTTTACTTAATAAGTCTGAATGAGTACTTGATAATCTTGGTATAGTCTGAATATGGTCTCGACAAATGCTCGACCAGGTTTGAACAATGCTCGACCAGTCTCGACTCAGTCTTGTCCCATAAATTTAGTCTCAACTCAGTCTGAATCAGCCCTTCTATGTCAAGTATATATTGATCTTAATTAATGCCAGGTTATTTGATAATTTAGTTTATTGGTTTTATATTTAATTATTTGACTAAAAGGTAAAAAAAGCTAGAATTTTCAGTTCGGACTAAATTCATATGAAATTTAAAATTTTCTATAACGTTTTCAAATTAATTTGGATTTTAAAAAACTTGACAGCTAACTCAATCATATATTGATCTTACAAAATGCCAGGTTATTTTGTAGTTTGGTTTATTGCTATCTAGTTTAAGAATTTAATTAAAAGGTAAAAAAGCTAGAATTTTCAGTTCGGACTAAATTCAGGTACCGTAGTCACCTTTAAAAATTTCTATAACTTTTTCAAATCAACTAGGATTTTTATACAACTCTACAGCTATCTCAATTATATATTGATATTACAAAGTGCCTGGTTTTTTTTGGTAGTTAGGTTTATTGCTGTCAAATTTAAGGATTGTCTAAATTCAGATAGTCACCTTTAAAAATTTCTATAACTTTTTCAAATTAACTTGGATTTCAATAAAACACTACAGCTATCTCAGTTATACATTGATATATATACAGATAGATGGACTGATTCAGACTAAGTAGAGGTTGAGTAGAGACTGGTCAAGCATTTATCAAGACCATATTCAGACTATACCAAGTACACAATCAGACTGATTAAGTAAAGTCTAGACCAAAGTCAAGTACAGTTAAGAATTAAATACTGTCATTATTATGTTGAGCCTTGTCAAGAAAAATCTGTGCTCGACCTTACTGGTTGTGCACAAAATATCGTCATTTCAGACTCAGCAGTTTATAGTGACCAAAGAGCAGAAAACAGCCGATGGCCACCAATGGGTGTATGGTTAATGCTTAGACTTTTTACATGTCCCATTCCAAACGATGCCTAGTTTGCACCCCCCTTTTCAAAATCCTTGATCCATGGCTGGCAATGGGAAGAACCGTAACAGTGTACAGTTTAAAAGTGTTTACTGTACTCATAATTTCCACAATTACGATCCGACCTCAAGTCGTAAAAGCGTACGGAGCACAGCTGAAAACTTTGACAAACGTCACATATTTCAAATATTCATGGCCATATAGTTACTATTTACCATCATAATGTTTTGTATTGAATGGTATTGTATGATGTAATTACGACGAAAGAGATTTAAAAACTATTTCCAACCAATGTGACTATCGAAGCGATAAACTTGTTAGCCTGGCATCCTGACCCAATCTAATTCTTCGTCGATAAACAAGCCTACATAATGTTGTGTATTAATTGAACATTTTAAAGTTATTTGATTTTTTCTTTTTGGTAAGTTTTGATAATTTTTTACATATTAAGTTAGTGTGTCAGACCATGGTAATTAAAATTAAATCATCTTAATACAAGTGTTGTGTAGTAATACTAGTTCTATTATGATTTATTGCATTCTAGATGCATTAATGATTAGCTGCCAATTTCAAAAGTGACGACCCTTACCATGGGTTGTTGCTTTATAATGAAGTCATTGACAAAGGTTTTTATAAGTTGAAGTCATCTCTCCGATACATTTACTGTCGCGCAGTGAACCAGGATCCCAGGCTATTCAGATTCGATAACTAGAATTCTGATTGGTTGAAAAAGTCACAGGCAAAATCCTTCAGAATTGAACCTATATACGCATCATGATTAGATCTCGTATGAAATCAGAGAACTATATTTTAATTAGATTGACAGTCAAATTGACAGTATAGGTTGGACGGGGAAAGTGCAAGTGCACAATTTACACAATTTATTACCAAAATCATCTATGCCAAACCTTTATTAATCAATATTTGGTAAAATCTGCTAGTATATGAACAATTTGTTTCCTTGATGTTCAGCAGCAAATATTTTACACCTTTCAAGACGATTCCAACTATTTAAAAAAAAGCACAGACACATGTATTTAAAGCACATTTACTTTAAGTTTTGGATTTTGTATTTGATTTCTAGAGAAATTGTCAGGTTTATGAGCTTCTGTCCTTTTTTTTTGTTGCTTTAAAGTTGATAAAACATATTCGAAAGGCGGACTTTTTTTTTTTATTTGAAGAAGCAAAAAGTTCTAAGATTAAGCAGTGTTTCACGATTTAAAGTGAACAGTTGCAAATAGACTTACTTTATGCAAGATTTTGCTGCATTTCATAGCGAGCAATTCCCGCAGAAAATGTCCATTTCGATCTCCAGCGTCGTTCAAAATACAATTGACGGCAAGCATGTATATTTGTATGTTTTAGATTTTTTCATGCCCAACACAGGCAGACGAAGAAAAGGCTCATGGTATAATGGACCGTTTTGTGGAGCTTGGTGGCAACTTCATCGACACAGCAAATATGTATTGTAGAGGACAATCGGAACACATTGTAGGAACATGGCTTAAAAAGTAAAGCATGGCGTATTTAGTATCTTGTCATGAAAATTAATTCATCATGTACAGATATCTTAATTCTCCCTTGTACAATAACATCAATGAATAAGATTATACCGATCAACTAACTCTCTGACAATCCAACATTTTCCTATATATTTGATGAAAAGGAACATGAATTATTTAATGGAAACAAGAATCGTAACAAAATTCTATAAAAATAGATGTTAAGAAAATTTCTTAGTATATAGACAAGTTAGAGCTTTACATACTTTGTATAATGTTGACTGTATGCGGACCTTTTGATGTTTTTGTTTTGTGTCATAAGGATACTGTCGCCTCCACGTATGGCCTACAACTACTATTTTTTTTTGCTTCAAACATTTAGAAAAGCGGAATATTGAAATAATATTCCACTACTAGCAGTCAGATTGGTTCAATTTTGTCAAAATAAGCTAAAATTTACTTCGCTGATGTATTATTGGCTTTCAGGTCATTATTCAATCTCATTTGAATCCATAATTGATTTAAGCTTTGTTGGAGACGGTTTGGCATGTGTTTAGCATGTTATACAGAGATTGAAAATGTCAGCTGAAAAAGTGAAACTAGGGAAGGTAGCAGTAGAAAGACCGATTGATTCGACACGCAATAAAATCTGTCTTATACAGGTTATGAGTGAATGATTGACAGTTAATGTATAGTTTTTGAAAAATCATAAAAAGATAGTAATATTAATTTATGATGGTCTACATGAAAATTATTGTACATGTTGCAATTTATAATTGTATAGCGCACTGCAAAACATATAACATTCATTTTCGAAACATTATGCTTTAAATTATTTGACAAATTTTATATAAAATGTAAATTTAAAAAAAAAATCATGTAATCCAAATATGTTATGAAAATTGATATTAAATTGTATTTATCATTTTATTTAAGGAAGTCCAGAGACAACGTCGTTGTGGCGACGAAATGTCGTTTCCCTATGTCGACGGAACCAAACGACAAGGGACTTAGTAGACGACACATTATCAAATGTTGTGAAGACAGTCTTGAACGTTTGCAGACAAACTATATTGATCTTTATCAGGTATTGGACGTAGATTGTTATCTTATTCACGTAACAATATAAAACATATCATAATTTAATATCAACAGTTTTTGGGGGAAAAACGCGACTCGTTTTTCTTTTGGTAGTGAATTCGCCAGGCTTAAACATCACTAAAAATCGGGAAAAAATGTTTTCTCCTAAATTAGAATTCTAACTTGCATTTGACATATGATTTTTCCTTTCTTTCCTTTTCTTCTTTTCCTTTTTTGGTAAAGGTTGGCAACATTTTTAACTTTTCCATATTAAACATGATTATATCTTGCCAAAGTCGGACCTATTCAAAGGGCGAACAAGTGAACACATTACAACAACAAAAAAACAAGACAAACATGAAACAATCATTTTTCTTCTTCAAGTTGCATACTTGACCTAATGCGATTTCTAGCTGTATGAATGGTTAATAATAGACATTGAATTTAAGGAATTTGAGGTCAACAATTTCTGTGGATTTGTTGATTTTATCATACTCAGTGGCGAATCCAAGGGGTGGTGGGGGGTTCTGGGAGTGGGAACCAGTAAGAAGAGTGGGATTTCGCAGCACTTTGAATTTTTAGGGGTTAGGGGTAAATTTCAAATAGGAGTAACAGATGAATTTTGAAAGATAGGGGTAAGGGTTAAATTTCAAATAGGAGTAAGAGATGAATTTTGAAAGTTAGGGGTTAGGGTTAAATTTCAAATAGGAGTAAGAGTTGAATTTTGAAAGTAGTACTACAAAATTGAAAGAAAAACTATAAAGACTTGAGTACTATAGTATTATATTATGATGGCTTCGTTTGATAATGACGTTATGAGTGTTAATGCGTTTGAAGACTAGGCACAGGAACAAAATTATGAAGACATTTTAAAATGGAAAGACCTTCCCACCAGGGTAATTTACCAAATTGTAGAAGTGAGTGAAATAGATGGTAAGTTTGGTAAGAGTAGTATACTTACCATGAAAACTAGGGAAAAGGACACAACAAGGGTGTGGTCTTGCAGTGGGTTAAACAGAGAAAGGGAACCTTTAGAAGGTGCCGTTGTAAGAAGTACAGGGATTAAAATCAGTAAAAAGACTCAACAAGAGTATTTTTCATACGACTTGGTTAGAGTATAAAAATCTCCTACTTCTAGTTAACAACAATTCAATTTCCTACTTTCATTTTAACACCTCCTAGGTAAAAAAAACAACAAAATAAAACATTTAATTTTTAATCTAGCTAAACACTAAATTAAAAATTAGATCGTGGTGTAAAATTGGAAGTAGCGGTAAGGTTCATACCTCAACGTCATAATACAATTTACGTTGCGTTGTTGCTATACAACATTATCAGAAATTAGTCAGACTTTTGTTAGCGAAGAATTAGTCTGACATTGTCTTGTGACATTGTCAGACCTTTTTTTAGCGGGGAATTAGTCTGACGTTGTCAGACCTTCTTTAGCGGGAAAATTCGTTTTTTTTTCTTAGCGTCATAATACAATTTACGTTGCGTTGTCGCTATACAACATTATCAGAAGTTAATCTGACGCTGTCATACCTTTTTTAGCGGGGCTGTGTGTGATGGTTTTCGTAATACTTGTTTTTCATCGTAGTACGAGTCTAAGCATGTAAACTCTACGTCACTAATGTCATCATCATCATCCAAAGCTTTACTCACTGCATCTTCGATCTTAGATTTAGAGGTTCTAACAAGCTAGATAAGTATGGCAATGTTAGCAATGGCTAACATTCCCAAAAAAACACCTTCCTTTTGCATGTTTTGTTTGAGTTGTTTTACACTCAACTCCAAGACCATACCACCTTGACCACTTTTTAACAGCTTGTCGATCTTTTGTATTTGTCGCAGAGTTAGCAACATCTTATCTTTCCATTTTAGATTAGCATGCGATAAACGAATACTAACGGGACAACCATTCTTGACTGCTTTTTGTAATATAATGGCTTGACCTTGTGTCAAATAAAACCATGTGTATGATAGTTCATCTATTTATATAACTTCCCTAAAAAAACAAAACTTGTTTTTACTTATTTCCAATCCATAGGCTCTTCATGTTTTTTCACTACAGCATACTCGTGTTGAAGGCGTTTTAGTAGTAAAGCACGTTGTATGTTATAAATTTTGGTGACAAATAGTTTCTTAAATTCATCATACCCCATGGGTCCTCCAAACACGCTTAACACCGATCGATGACTATCACGGCATGGTTCAGGATCACCTGGTTTACTGAGTTGTTTAAATAGGTCTTACACGAACGTTTTACTCCTAACAAACGTGTAATCATGCGTATTGTCTTCAATGAACACTAAACAACATTCAAACGAACAAAAAGGTTGAGGAAGCACCACATACTTTTGATTCTGTAACGTGTAATCCATTATTGTAATGTTACTTCAATACTTAGAAAACGTGGATTGGTAATGTTTGTCTACGGGACAAAACACCGAGTCAACATCAGAGTTTAATTTACACACACACCAATAACATCTTTTGTTGTATTCCATATTAAGTCATTAGCTTTTTTAGCTTTAAGGTGTTTTATATCTCACGAAGATGAAAACGTATGCTTAAATGTTCACCTCTGAAATCTATGGGAGTTCCATCTTGATCCGTCAGATTAGTACTCATGCGATTGATGGTGTTCAGTGTGACTGGTAAATAGACCAATTTTTTCGGAGTTTGAATGATTTTCATACCGGGGGATACGTTTGGGAAGAAACTATAGATGGTGGGTTGTTGTTATCCATCGACATAGCTTCCACTGATGATATCGCTATTGACGAGAATGCTGATAATGTTGACAATGGTCTCACCCTCCGTGTAACCGTTTGTAGCTCGATCGTTGTGTAGATTTCTTTGTTAAAGCCCAGCACTGTATTGATGCTATCCTCGACATTAAAATCGACTTGATAGTTTCTGGCTAGAGTGAATGTTGTCCTCAGTGTACTGTGATAGGCACCGCACCGATGTGGATTTTGGTGAGGTGTTTGTTGAGTTGTAGATTTATTTGTAACCCGTTGTTGATATTTTCGATAGAGTAATAGCCAGTGTTTAACACAACGGTAAACCAGGTGGCACCGTTATCGTTATAGTAATGAAAGGTATTGTTTCCTGCATGAATATTTGGGAAAGAGTAGTAAGTCTCCAGGCTGACCAGAGCCATTTCATAATTCTTTCCATTTTTTAAGTAAATGGGTGGATTGAACCTGGTATCGATTTTGTTATTAGCAGACACGATGAAACAGAAATCTTCCCTAGGTGTCGTATTTTCAACGATGCGTTGTAACAAGTGATGATCCATCTATCTTCCGAACACAACTTTCATTTTGTCCATTAGACTCGAACTGCAATACTCTATCTGAGATCACCAGTGCAAAGGCTTCGGTGTTCGCTGGAACATTGCGTTCAAACTCTATCCTAACTTGAATGTCAACGCTTGACGCTTTAAGCTTTTCAGACTGGTGACTCACATTGATCATAAACAAAGGATAGAGGTCTGTAAAGTCGGTAGGGTTGATATTATTATTACTTATGAGATGGTCCATGTTGAAGATTTTTTTACGAAAATCGAGAGCTTCTTTGTATATTCTAGATATTTTACACTGATTGAATTGGGTGTTAAAGTCTACGGCTTGATAACGTGCATTTAAGGTGACATAAATGTTTCTTAAAAAACAGTGATCGAATAGTGCTGCGTTTTCTACTTGATCGTTACTTTTATCGGTTTGGATAAACAGATCCTGGGTTTCGATGTTGATTCGTATTTCAGCACTGGCACTGTTTAAAGATGCTCCAGTTTTGGGTTCGTATTCATGGACTTGATACTCCTGAATACTTTCATCGAAAGACAAACCTTCTGTGATACTGAGTAAATCATTCATTTATTTATAGCGTTTGACGAAGTCGTGAATGCTTGCCCTACCACTGCCTGAGATGATATTGTCAATTTTTTGCTTTTAGAGGATGAGATGATGTTATTTAAACGTTGATGGGAGTTTTTGTTTTGGGTGTTCTACGAACCACATGATCCACAGCTTTGGTAGCTCCTTTTTCCACACTTTAAGAGTGCATTGGTGACAGCGGTTATGGCTTTACTTCCTAGAGTCATTTTGGTAGAAGAGGTAAACGCGCGTCCGGCTAAATTATCGATCGTGTCAAACAGACCACTACCACCCAGGGGCGGATCTAGGATTTTAGGTTAGGGGGGCACTAACTTAAATTTTTTTTATGTAAAATTATCGAAATATTCTTTATTAAGCTGAGAACAACCCATGCTTTGCAAATTTTAGGGGAAGCGCACGCCCGCCACGCCCCCACCTGAATCTGTCCCTGCCACCCACCACATATTTACGTTTCTATCCTGTCTTTATGTTTAACATTCATTTATTAGAGGTTACGATGAGCTTGCTTGTAATCTTTGCTGTTAATGAAGCCACCCTTTTCCATGGCATCGAGGATGGCTACAATGTCGTTACGCACACCACGGTTTCCAGCTTGATAGGAAGCAGCACACAACTCCAATCGATCGAGGAGTTGATTAAAGTTTGAGGGTAGAAATACGGTTTGCAATCCATTGCCATACTTATCTAGCTTGTAAATGCGTGAGACAATACATTCCATTTGTAACTCTTACTCGCTTTAGGAGTTTTGGAAAGGGTTGAGTTATCTCTATACATGGCATGAGTACTTTTTAAAATTTCAGCATAGTCATTCAAATCATCAGTCTCATAATAAACTGGTTCTTTCATGACCATGAGTTCCCATTAACCAGGAGTTCCTTTATACCTTACTCCATCCACAAAGAAATCATCTTCATTGATCATGACCTGTAAATTCCCGATGTTTGTTTTTAGAACGCAATTCAAAGATGTGGTCAGTACCCTTTGTAGTCATAATGTGTAAATAATGTTCTGCTAAAGGACCAATCTTAATGATGTTGGTAGGTGGTTCAATAGGGAGTAGATCTACAACTTCAGGAGGTGGTAATGGATTTACAACCGGATG